CGAAGCAGGACAATTGTAATGAAAAAAAAAATATGATTCATTAAATCCGTATATATCAATGTTTCAATAATAAAACTTACTTCAACTTGACGACATAAATTATCATGATCAAGGGCATAATGCTCATAACAATTAGTATTAATATGTAAGTACATAACAACTTGTATGAATCCATTAAAATCCGATTGAATGTTAGCATGTTTCTATGATGAAATATTTAAAAACAAAACCAAATAAAACGTTACAATGATATATGAAATGAGAAAATTTACAAACTGAATAATTCTAATTTAAGCATATCTGTTTAGCTAATAAAATAGCTTGATTGATCTAATTTATAAGGTGTGTTCTCATTCAAAAACTATTGTGATGGCGTTTCATTCTTTGAGATGGATGTTTTGGTTGTGAAACTTTCTTGTTTCTTCTGAACAACAGCATCAACACAAACTTTGGGTAGAATTGAAGTATTCAAATTTGTCAACGTATGATTTGTAGCTGCTTATTGTGTTTTCACCTCAATCATGACTGGTCAATGACAATATTCATTTGAATGTTACACTTTAGAATTTTTACAAAAAATATTATATGACTGACTCACTCACTTGAATAAATTCATCCAATTGATTATTGATTGATATGAATGAATTTTGAATAGTTGTTATAAATAGTGAAAATAATTTATTTAACTTTTCTACCATTTCATTATACAATAAATTAAACAATGGATTATAGTCGATTAAAATGAAGCAGGACATTTTGTCATTTTCATTGTCGAACAAAACATTTTCATATTTTATGTGATTTATCAAATGATTAATCCATTCAACTGATGCTTGAAATACAGGCTGAGAAACAACAAGGTGTATTAAAAGAAAAAGATAAAGTAATTCATCAGAATTTAGAATCAATACTAGTTAAATGTGTTTTTTTATTTGTAACCATGAATCGATCAATGTTAGACCACTATTAGAAACCTGGAAGCACTGGACGGCCGTTTCGTCCTGGTATGGGACTCATCAGCAGCGCGCATCCACGACTCCTGCCCCTCGCAGGATTCGAACCCAGGACCTTCGGTATTGTGCGCGAACGCCCTAACCGTTAGACCACTGAGCCGGTATCTAACGGTGTTAATGTCTAACTTGATCAAATCCACGGAGTTGCGCGACCTCATACCCCGTATACATCCGGACAGGTTTGAACTTCACTGGTCACGACTTCCCACTAGAACTCGGAGAAGATTCCTCACCAAGCTAGTCAATAGTGGACACATGTCATTGCATTGCGGGGTTGTTGTGAAGTTTGTTAATTTTTATTTGTAACCATGAATCGATCAATGTCATTATTTTATTACTAAATTTGATAGAGAAGATCTATGGTTAAGTATGAATGATTTTTGTAAAACAGTATTGTATTCTCTAAATTAGAATGCTTAATTAAGAAGTTTACATTGTCATTCTGGACAAAATCTTCAAAGCCTACTTCTGACTCAAGGAACACAACACCAATAAACATAATTATTAATGATTAAACTATTAATTAAGATGCTAAAAATGCAATTCAGTTTAAATGCTGTTTTTTTTTGACGTAAAATGTAGAGTGTATGCTTTTTAAAATACGTGAGAAACAAAACATCTGATTAGTGTATTCCATTTTTTAGCTCAAATTTTCTCATTTAGATCTATTAAGAGTAACCAGTGTTAAACCGAACATATCAAGCATGATTATGATAACTAATATTCAATCAATCTTCAGACAAAATTCAGTGGGACATAACTGAAATAAAACTGTTTTCTCAAAATGAATGCCTGCTTATCCACTGGCGACAAGCTTTGGATCAAACTCAAAATCCTAATAACAATTTGAAACCCATTAAGGCTCGATGTTGTTGGATATGAGACTGTTGTCGCTACTGATGTTCATAGCTCTTAAAGAGACTCATGTCCGAAATTTTCTGCCAACCACCTTCAACTAGCTAACGTCAAGACATCTTACACACAAAATTAAGTCACTTACACTGACGAATAAGTCTCAACTAGATCGGTGGGAACCAACTTGCACTGAAGACTAAACAGAATTGACATCGACACGTGAGTAGTGACCAATGATTACTGTTACATCAGCCTTACAGGTGATCAAATTCGACTGTAAGATTTCATTGGTGAAATGCCAGACTGTAGATGTTGAGGGTGTCAGTTGGAATTCTTTTTGCTTCCTACTTCACTTTGATGACGAGTACAAATAAATACAAAAAAAGCCTTTGAAGTTTCTTGCCAACTGGCTAACAAATCCTTAAATTAATGACGTTGAAGACGTGGGCAAAGATATTCTAACTCAAAATCCAGAAGATTTTATGTTGATTGCGAGATATAAACCTCGGTGAAAATCTAATACTTCCAATATAGTGTTGTGGAGATTGTTGAGTTTCATTAGACTACGATTAAAAACCTGGAATCAATGGACGACCGTTATTTCCTAGTATGGGACTCATCAGCAGTGTTCATTCACCACCCTGCAAGGGGATGTAAAACCCAGAACATTCAATCTCTCATGCGAACACTTAACTTCTACACCACTGAGCCAGAATCCAACAGTGTTAATTAATGTCTGACTTCGATCAATTCACGATATTGCATGACCTCATGCATTGTCTTCGGTGGTGAACTGCTTGACACCTGACATGACTGGACTCCACTTTTCGTCGGTTCTTACAAGAACTGCGACAATTCCCTTCCGAAGCTAGTTACTCATAAAAACATGACAAGCGTTTGTGCACGATATCGAACGTTTCTAATGATTGTCTAACATTCATCGATTCATAGTCAAATTTTCTCAGTTAAATTAAGTTTACACCATGATTAGGTTTACAAAATGATATTTACGTAATATTGTCAGTCACTAATAGCAAAGAATACGGATTCACACTAAAACCCCTCTATGTTTATCTGAAATCCAATAAAGTATACAATTATTATTGATTTCGTTGAAATATCTCACAACTATTATTTTACAACTGACGTTGGTTTAAGACAAAACCACTTTCAAATTTATTTATCACTATTATTCAATGTATATTACAACAGTGTCTAGATAGAAACCATTTCATTGACTCACTTGATGCCTATGTAATTCCGTGTGAAAATCCTTGTTCTGTAGTAACACGTCTAACTCATTTATTGTTTCATTCATATCAATAATCCATTGTATAGATAGAATAATGTTATTTGTTTTCTCATAAAATCTCTTACTCCATGGGATCATTAAGCTGTCATAAAGTTTCATAGCTTTACATCTACAAACAAAATAAGTTATAGTTTAATTTAAAATCAATTGATATTTTAACTGAATTTTAATCGTTTTAGGTTCATTCTGAGCTATTCGCCTCGATATTAGCCAATGATAACACAAGCTGGCATAGAATATATGAAATGTGGTGGGCAGGAAACTCCAGGACGGGCATTTTATCCCGGTCGGATATGCCTACATTTCACAGTTACTGCTCACTTGGGAACTAGAATTTAGTGCCGTTTGCTTCAAACGGTATCGCATTACCCAATTAGATTTTGAGTCCAGATAGCTAATAGCGACATTTCGTTTATTATAGAATACGTTACAGCAATAACCTAAATGGCTAACTTATGCAGAAAAGAATCAGCATAAGTTGAATAAAACAAAAGAGACACTGTATAGTTGTTTTATCCTTAATAGTGTTCAATTAATAATTCCACACGCAATAGAAACCAATCAGAGTAAACAGCAACTACGATATCTTTAGATGATTGCTGTAAATCTTAGTGACTAATATCTTAAACTAGTTAGAAATTTTTGACCTATCACAATGCCTATTTCCTTACCCTGGGGATTCAATTACCTTACTGGTGAACTCGAATAGCATAATCCTATTTCGAAGTCGACTGATCACTTTGAGTAACAATGTATGTTTGTATGTATGTTTTCGCTGCGCCTCTCTTCTTCCATATATAAAATTGCGTTTGAAGGTGAGTCTCCACCCCAGCACTGAAATCAGTCGTTGGAAGTGAAGTATTTGAATATGTCAATCAGTTCAATTATCTGAGGAATTTTGATTAGACATACTAGGCTGGTATCTAACCAAAATCTCTTCATGAATTTAGAAAGCTCAATTGATTTTTACCAACCTAAATATCACTTATGGAGTGGGTGAGATGCTCGTTTGCTTACTAAAGGACAAGTAAACAACTGAGTAACAATCGTCTTCTTTTTGGTTTCGTTTAATTACATGCTATTGATAACTATCAACAACAACAACAATATGGCAAATAATAATAACTGAGGTCTATTGAAGTCTTCCTACTGAGTATGTCAAGTTGATTGTTCACCTGTTCACCTGTATGAATTAATTTCACACAGCTGTACTGATACAAAGTGTAACAAATTAAACTGGTCGGTCCCAGATTTTTAATGACTTTCTTAACAGAACAATTGTGTTGTGAGCTACTTATAAGTAGTATATGACGTGAGTGTCAACGTAATGTCTGGCAGCAGAAGATGGGGGAAGATCAAGAAGAAGAGTTAGAAAACAATGGAATTTGTATGAAACGTATGAATAGTGACAATGGATTGATGTTTGGCAACAGGAACAGTTCAGTTCGATAGGATGAACTGATATTTTGCAAATGAACAATTTACGATATGGTTTTCCAATTTTACTGAGTAACTCTGTAATTTCGCAAAACTACAATTCGGTTGCCCCACCTGTGTTCTCGTTCACTACACAATGTCTGCCCTAAATATTTGTAATTAATGTTGATAATTGACCATGGATGTGCACTACTGAAGAGTTCAGTACTAGTAAGAAGCGGTCGTTCACTGCTTCCACAATTTCATCACTGATCCAACATTAATCGGTTAATTAATTTACTGTATAAAAGACAAGAAAGTATGAAATCTTCTTTATTTCCTCACCTGATTAGTTACTGATTATTCAGTATATTAATCATTTCAGTTGATAAAACCACATACTTATTTACAAAATAGACGACCGAAATTTGTTTACAATTTAAATGATTCCTGGATTCACATTGTGTAGATCACTGAAACCAACTATAAAATGTAAAGCCTGATTGTTAAGCTTATTTATTGCTTTTCAAATCGCATCCTCATCAAATATAATATATTTTGTTTTGATGAAAAACAAGTAGTCGTTTGCACACTAGCTAGTGTGTAAATGTCATATGGACAGTTGGTATCCTGCAACAAAACGATACTCTATTTGTAGATGACAACTAAAAGTCGATAAAGATGTTACAAGTTATAGGAAATTTGAAGTTATTTGACTATTCTAAGCATATGTATATTCAGAAGTTTATTAATCTTTGCCTTACTCTGGCTTAGAAGTGATCAAAAGTCTAAAAACTCAATTCATATTATCAGCCTGAATAATAAGATTAGTTGAATATGAATGGAGCTGCAACATGATAGCCGATAGTTTTATTTCACAATCAAATGTTTAGAAAATCTGTTAAACTCAACTTCACCTCATACATTTTTGTACGAAGTCGAATGATACTAACCAATCGTTCAAAATGAACTGGATTATAACAAGATTTGAACTGCCTACTAATTGATTGAAAATCAATCGGTTATGTACCAAACTACTTACTGTACATTCAAATGAAACGCCATTATGTTTTATTATTCAACTTACTGTTGTTCAATAAGAGGACGTAATCCCATCTGAGATGCATTTTCAATAGTAGGGAAGCAATTATGACCTCTAATATTAAGATCAGGTTGATCCAAATCCAAACAGGATAATATCGATTCATTTTGTTGAAACTGATGTTCAGGTATAAGGCCTAAAATTATATTGTTTTGAAATAAAAATATAACCTTTCAAACAGTTTTATTCATTCAAGATGATATTCTTAAGGAATGATCTCCTCTGTGGTATCATTAAAAAGCAGGAATGACAATTATTCAAGTGCCCACTAGCAACTAGCTTCGGAAGGGAATTGTCGCAGTTCTTGTAAGAACCGACGAAAAGTGGAGTCCAGTCATGTCAGGTGTCAAGCAGTTCACCACCGAAGACAATGCATGAGGTCATGCAATATCGTGAATTGATCGAAGTCAGACATTAATTAACACTGTTGGATTCTGGTTCAGTGATCTAGAAGTTAAATGTTCGCATGTGAGATTGAAGGTTCTGAGTTTTACATCCGCTTTTCTGTTAAGGGTTGCTCATCGGCAGTGCATTTCAATAATTCGACTATGATGTATGAGGATATGATTTTAAGAGGCACGAAACCGAGTTCCGTCTCCTTTAACTAATACATACCTTTGAACAAAAACACTCATTTAAATGGATTATAATCACGTTGAATAACCCTATGAGAAGGCTGTTTGTTTATTGATCTGAGTGATCTTGAATCACTAACACAGCGATAATCCCATCGATTGAAGTATAAATCGAAATACTGTCGTTTAAATGGCCTCAACCAATGAACAATAGTGAACTTCAGACAATTCTTTATCTTGTAAACACTGAACAAGGCTGATCGAATATATTTTTACAATGAATTTTTATCACATATCATCTGATATTACATATATTTCAAGTCGTGAATTTGTTACAAGTATCTATCCAAAGTAAAAATACAAGATTCCTGTAAATCATACAATTGGATCCATGAGTTGACGATTACGACGCTACCAGAAATTAACTGTCAGCTTTTTTCAAAAAGTTTCATATGATTATATTTTTCACAAACATCTTATGATAGTATGTTTTGTATATATGATTTCTGAAGTTCAAAGATCCTCGGGTTTATGGCCTCCCACCAAACACATTCAGGCGTTGGGTTTGTGTGCCTCAAAAGAATACTCTATCCAGAGACGGTACTTGGCGTCTTCCACTAGGGCTTCACCAACCTCTGTGGTTAGAACATCACTGCGTCACCATATGCTATAACGATTATCAACTTACATGAATGTTCGGGCAGATATAACTTTGGAGAAGCACCTAAGGCCCATATCTAAGGGCAAATGAAGACCCATCTAAATAGTTATAGAAAGAAATTAGTTTCAATGGTCTTATAAGTGCAAGTGAAAAGTAAACAATGTCCGTCAAAATTTGAACGAATAGTTGAACAGAAATCGGGCTCCAAGTATGTATATATGCTGAAATTATATTTGAAATAATCTCAGTTGCATGAGATCTAAAAGGGACTAATCAATGCTATTGAACATGCTTAGTTATATCTACGTTTTATTTCTTACCAGAAGCAATCGAATTTTCATCTAAAATAATAATAGTAGTAATAATTAATAAATATAAAATAAATAAGCAAATTGAAGCAAACACTTGAATTAACCTTTCTCGAAATTTGCATAAGATGGTAGATAACTATGAACCATATCACGAATGTATACATTTGTTTCTTCCAATCCTGTTAAACTGATTATATTCCATGGAATTTTGGTTGTATGTTTTGAAGAATTTAAATTAAATGAAACAGAATTTTTGTAAAACATTTGAACTATAGAGTTAGCATAAACTTGACTGTCAATAGTTTCACGGATATTTTGAATTTCTTTCTCCTCATTAAAGTATATTTGAGTTAATTCATTTTCTGATATAGTTTCGTTTAGATGTAGTGAATCTTTTAATTGTTCAAACGTCAATTTGAAAATGGTTATTACAGTGGAAGGTGGAGGCCAAAAAATTAATTGACTTTGTTCTTTAATTAAAATGAGGTTTAGAGAAGAAATGTTTTTTTAAAAGGAAATATTTAAAATGCGATTCACAAATGAATAAATGAAAACAGTTTGACATGTTGATGTAAGTTTATAAATTGGCTTTTTTGATATTGAAGACAGAAGTTTAATCAGTTTATTTCGATATGCATGCAACCGGAGTGGATCAACTCTATATTAGCGTTTTTAGTTACAAGTTTTAATATACTGTATTGTAGATACACTATTGAATGACGTGTTGATGTTTGAAGTAACAGTCACTAGGTTCAAGTACCCATGTGACCATCAGTACGCTCGTTTCGTTTTATTTGTGACTCATCATTTGAAGAAACCTATTTCCTAGTATTGATATTCAAAATGACACACCTAGTATTTAGTGCTTTAAACGACAACCCGTTATTTGATAAGGTTGACAACAATACAATCATACCAAAACTAGTAATTAAAGACGTTAGACAGACGAAGTCCTTACAGGATACATGCATGCTAACAAAGACTAATCCATATTCGGTCCTGAATTTCAACTTCAACAAACTCAAGATCATTAATCATAAAGTTGTAGACATTTTGTATAAAATTCACTCCTATGCACAGTTTTGTGCTGTATATACTCATTTATCAGATATTTCAAATTTGTATATATTGTACTTGCTTTCTCGTGATTCTTTAATCTTAAGATCCTAACCAGCCCATGAAGAAAAATCTATCTTTAAGAATAAACACAAATCTTCACAAGCCAACCCTTACATAAAGTAAAGTAAAACTCATATATTTTATTTCATTGATGAATTTGTATACAACAGTAAGGACAACAAACATGATTTCTTATCAACTGCATTCAGCATAAACATAATAGTATTTATTAATTATCAAATAAGTCAGCGTGCATATTTTATCCATATCATAATATATCAAAAATGTCCACTTCTATATATATGGATTAACAAACGATAATAAATAAGAAAGAATTATAGAAAGTTTTCAAGTGATCAAATATTTCGATGATAAATAAGTGTAAAAAGTGTGTAAAAAATCGCAAACCTCCAAAACTCTGCCCGAAAATATCGTAACAGTGCTCACTAGTGACTAGCTTCGTGAGGAAATTCTCGGAGTTCTAGTTGAGAAGACGTGACCAATGGAGTTCAACCCTGTAGGGTGTAGGCAGTAACTACCAAAGACAAATGGGTGAGGTCGCGCAAAATCCCTAGATCAATCAGAGTTAGACATTAACACCGTTGGATGCCGGCACAGTGGTCCGATGGTAAGGCGTTCGCCTACAATGCCAAAGGTCCCGGGTTCGAATCCTGCGAGGTGCAGGAGTCGTGGATGCGCACTGCCACTGATGAGTAGTCCCATACCAGGACGAAACGGCCGTCCAGTGCTTCCAGGTTTCTAATGGTGGTCTAACAATGATTGATTGGTGATTTCAGATGTGGAAAAAATAAGTGAAGCTTAAATAAAACTTTGGAAGTTCAGAAAAACAAACCAAATTTTGATTTATTTATGTGTTCATCTATTAATAATTTTGAACAATTTCGAAATTTCAAAGTTATGTCCACTACCAAATAGATGACACATAAGCGAACTTTGAAACCAAAGTTGAAACCTCAATTTGAGTTTTTGACGAATATGCTCACTTGATGCAAAAATTTACTCACTTCCCTGTTCTCCTAATGTACTACGGCCTGCACATGTGAACTGGTATGCATAACTGAAGGCAACGTAAGGTCATTGTTTGTCCATTTTTGAATACTTTCGTATGCACTCTATTCGATACACTGAGACTAGTTTGGCTGGTGGATAGCTTCTTTTCAGTGCAACTCCAAGTCTAAAATTAATCTTTCCAGATAACAAATCACTTTTGAATTTAATTAGCTGGAAGAAAGGTTTTTCCTCCACTGAAGCACACTGTGTCATCAACGCACCCAGCATATAGAGCTGCCTCCCTAGTTATCATCTTCATAATTGCCTGTTCCAAATTGGTCATAAATATATCTGTCAAGATCAAAAATCCTAATGAATTTTTAATGTTATGCTATAAAATATGTACATTGATATTGTTTAATAATTAATACACAACTATGTTTATGCTAAGTGCAGCTGATAAAAAAATCACCAAATAAAATGAATTCATCTTATTCTTCTACGTTTGTTGTTCTTACTTAATTTAACTTTTCTCATTATTGCTGGATGATCATATATATTCAATACTGTGTACTTACTCTCAGATTTTTTTAATAAAACAGGATAAATAACTAATCGAAAATTCTTCTGCATTATATCTTTGTTGATATTCATCTTGTACGTATCTCTTTCTTCTTTACTACTCAAATTCAATTTCTCATTAATATAATCTTGTATGCTTGACTGGAATTTATTTAAAGTGTAACTTATCAATCGATAACGTATACAACGGAATAAATTTGGAAAACTATTCAATTGATTACGCAACTTTTCCAACTCATTTTTCATTGCTAAACTTTTTTTCCAAGTTTCAGTAATTGACAATGTTTGATTTATTTCTCTTTGTTCAAAAGAAGAATACAAAAAAATAAATTAATATAGATAACATTCAAGAACATTTTTAAAAGAATCTTCTGAACTAAAATGCAGTTATATATTTTTGCGAACCTAGCAATTTTACTTAACATAAATACTCAATAGATTGAGATTTTATGCTCAAAATGGTTATCAGTTGAAGCATATTGTGGAAGTTTTTGAATTGTATTTGGATCATGAACCAAAATTAATTAAACAACCATTAAATACCACAACGCACTGAAAGCTTTTTTCATTCCAGTATGTAAATCCTTAGCAATTCCCAACCACAACCAAGTCACCTAGGGCTCGAACTCAGACCAGTAACCTAAAACTCATTGGTTTATAACTCCAACTTTAAATAGTTCACAATGCTACGTGACCATATTTTATTATTATTATTATTATTATTATTATTAGTAGTAGTAGTAGTAGTAGTAGTAGATACTTTCTTCACATTCGAGCCCTAATGAGAAGTCGTAGCCAGAGAAGCTCCACCTTGTCAAGCTTAAAATCGGTTAACCAGTGAAGACAATGGATAACTTAGTGTTTTCTTAAGTGGTCGTTACTTTATAACACCCGTATTCACAACAAGTAGTAGATTGCACATATTCCTATGGTAAGATGGTAATAATTCTCTGTCAGCCATAATCACCTAGTCATAGTGAAGAATTTAAGTGGATAAAATGATAAACTGTATAATGTATAAAATGATAAACTTGCTTGGAGTTCCAATTCAATTCATCTTCTTTATAACGTATTAGTTTAGCAAGAGCAAACCTTGCATATTTGAATGCAATAAATATACAGTTTGTTACATGTGACATTAAAACAGTATTGTAACGTAGATTCCGGTTAATTTCAGCACAAAATTGTACTATATTCAACGGGCTGTACAAATTAATAGAAAATTTTGATAAGAACATCAATATTAAAACACAAATGAGAAATCCTAACTCGTATGTAGATGATGCAAGGGAAATAATTTTAGACCAGATACAAAGAAGCATTAAATTAATGACAAATAAATAGAAATATACCAAAGTCTCTTTCTTATTCGTGACAAGTCTTACTCCCTGTTCTCACATGTTAGTAGTGTCGCCAAAAAAAGTGAGATGAAAGAAGTAGACTAGTGGGATTAAATTTGGGTAAGTGGATACGGAGAGTGAACCTAGAGGATTTAGAAAATTGTAATTCCAAACCAATGATTAACATGAGATCACATTTCCTAAGTGAAAAATTTGCATATGATTCTACTCTTGCTTTCATATTTATAGACTGCACTGTTAGGTCAAAGATCCCCTGAGAAAACCACTTGGTTTTGGGTTCTTTATATCATGTTCTAAATAAAACAAATAGTCACATAACTTACCACATGATAATGGGAAAGAATTTCAAGGTATCCAGCGAATCAAAGAGTCTACAAACAGTAAATCATAAGTGGTAGTTAACAAGGATTTCGAAAAGGCAAATATCAAAAAAAATGCATATGCCTATTCAGCGATGTACAATACAATAGAAAACATATAACTGATTAATTCAAAACCATGAAATAGGAAACACTAGTCAATCTATTGTAGTGTGTGTACCAAAATGTTGAGGCCGCAGGGCTTGGTCCTTGCTTTCCAAAAAACTAAATAAATTTTCCTAACCAAGTCATTATTCACGTGCTTTCGACCTTGTCAATCATTCGCTCATAATTTTGGTTTTTATGCGTGTTTGTGTATGTGGACTGCTTACTGTGCTCATTAAATCTCTAGCCTAGTTTATCTGCCTGTTAGTAATTAGTGGTGCTTCATTGGATTCAGTTGGCTCAATCGCCTTCTCCAATTCACTTCGCCTTGCCAGTACGCTTTTTATTCTCATGTCTGTCTGCTTAAATGGATGCCTGAGATAAATTCATCAGCAAAAACGTAATTAGCTTCGTATTACTACCGTAGCACAGACGTGTTTCGTTTAAGTATGATATGCGAAAATTGATTTCTTCACATATTCGATCGTCTGCCCAAAAAAGGAGTCAGATAGGGCCACTGAAGTGATCAACCCTATTTCGGATTTAACGCAGCCACTAAACTATCTAACGTTATCAAACAGAATTCACTCAATAATATGTACTTAGGATTTTTAAAAAATCACTAAATGAAATTACTTTTTAGTCACAAAAATAACATTTAGCATATTTACTAAGTAGGAACTTTCCATTATTTAGAAGATTAAGTAAATCACTCTTATCAAAAACTGAGAAATGTCCAAAATAAATATTACGTATGGGAAACACAATATAACTAACTAATCCTAATTCATTATTGGTTTGAAGTGCTTCATTTCAAGTCATTTGATGAACTGAACTCAGAATATAAAATACGTAAAACTAACTACTCAGTAATAAGAACACAATTGAATGATCTATTTTAACCAACTCCATTAACTAGTCACCTACTGAAAGTTTAGTGGAATTTTAAAAGGTCTACAAACTCCTGTTATGAACATACTGTTTTAATATAAGTTTAAAACTTGGAATTTCTAGTTAACAGCTACTGTATATTTATCTCGTGATAGTCTCTATGTGATGCTTTCCGAAATTTATCTACGGTTACAAATTTATTTGATAAGCAATTTTCAAACCATTTCATCCAGTATTCGGTTTAGGATCGACCATACCAAGAAAAGACTAAAATACTAAACACTGTGTTGGACTGAACATTAGTATTGTTAAGCAAGGCTTCATTTAGGCACTATGGGTAACCACAAAAGTGATCATTTTGACCAAAGCCCTTTAAATTTTTAATCGATTTGTAACAATTCAGTTTTCTACTGCTGGAATTATTTTTGAGATTTTATTTAGTTATCTGTTCACTCTCTTCTCAGGCCTTTTGGATTTGGTTTGTTGATCGTATACTACTGCAATAAACTTATTCATGTCTCATGTTACGGTTCTTCCTAACCACATGATATGTTGTCTGTAGTATTCGTGAATACGAACATTATAATATAAACCTAAAACCTCTTTTAGAAATATTATGCAACCAGAAACTTACCTTTGAACAACTTGAAATAATCGAGCATATACAGGATTTACGATCAGGCAATTATTTGATAAAAAACTATTTATTCTCCTGAATTTCCTTCTGTTCATAATTTGGCGCCAGCTGTAATTCGAAATGTATATATAATGTTTTAAAATATTCTGAAATATTTTAACTTCATGTTTATATTGAATAAAATCATCAAATTAAATGAATACAACTACTGGACTATTCTAATCAGTTTAAGTATTAGATATTAAGCTAACTAGATATTGGTCAATGACCAAATGATCTAACCACAGATATGCAGTGCTACATGGTTAAAGTTCTTCAAATGACGAGGTATAACAAGCCAATTTATTACAGTGAAATTCCAAAAGAAAAACCATAAAATAATGGAAACGAATACCAAAAACAGTTCCTGAAGCATGATGTGTAAGGAAAGCACACAAAATTCAGATCTCAAGTTGCCCGATATTTAAGCCGTAGAATATTTGAAAACAGTTCTTTGAAACATCCCGTATAAAGTTAAGCGTACAATTATGGATTTACCTAGTTTGACAATGAAACCTCCAGTCTTAAAACTTCCAGCCTGTAAGTTAATAATTAGGATGCCAACGTGATCCAAGGTCTTTCCGAAATCTTGTAATCGGGACATTCTATCTTCATAAAGAACAATAAACCTTACGTAGGCCTACATCTTAACGTGCTATTTATGAATGAATAGATGAAATTTGATTGGTGTATGTATATTTTCCTAATTAACCCAAGCAATCAAAATTTATGCTATAAGAAGCTGAATATTTGGCAAACCCTACCAATTCAAATCAATTAAACAGAAAAAACATTTTATCGTCCATAGAATTCTATATTCATTTCACTTACGTAACAAAAGATTTCCAAGCTGAAAGGTAACGAAATGCAGAATTTTTCATTAAAATTTCACATAAAACTGCTTCTGAAAACCATTCTGTGAGATTTAAATGCTCCTGTTCAGTTTCGGTAACTGCCAGTATACCAAATGTACTAAATATATAATGTGGTTCATCGTTCTGCAGAGAACAATGTATATTATATGAAATAAATTTTATTCATTTTAATGATGAATTTGTCTTGTACTTCATTTCTTGCATATCCATTCTTTCTATAATGTTTAAAGCTGAACACTTGTATACAGTTTATCTTTATTTTTTTTCTCACTTTTAACCAATGAGTAATACTCTGATATTAAACTGGAAAATCTCTGAATAGAAAATTTATCCCTTGAGAGTTAATGCTTAATAACAAGGCTATAATCACCAGTTCGTCTACGGCAAAGTGAAATAAAGATTATGAACCTCTATTTAGTGCAGTTAAATTAGACATGAACTCAATTTTATCTAAAACGAAGATCATATTTCTTCCCATACTGAATGCGTTTGGGCTTCTTCGCCTAGATACTGTTCTCAATGCTATTACAAATTCCTGATTATATAGAATAAAAATTTCAAAACATTAGTATGCAGTAATTCTGGTATCAAGCTATCAAATCATCCAACCATAGGGATTATCTTTCATTGCTTTCTTTCAAAACTTTAAAAAAAACTTTCAAATGATGCTATTCACGAATTTTCTTATCTTCGTTTCAATTAAAATTTCTTTTATGCTAGTAGATATTTGTTATATTAAAATTTAATAAAACTGTTTTCTCCAAAATATTTTGGAATTTTAGAATAAATTTTTCATTCGTTTTCAATACTACATCTGAATAATCACGAAATTTTTCTCAAATCTTCTTAGCGACCGTCACTAGAGAACATCTCTCAGAACAGAACCATTCAGTTTCTTGTGGGACTAGATAAAAATTGGCTTTTTATCTAAAGAATAAACCATTACATACGATTCCAGAATGAAGTTTTTTGTAGAACTAAGCTATTTCTAAAAGACTTCCTTTATATAAAAACACAGATATATGAAAATTTTCCTATAAATTCTAATTATATCGTCGTTTCCGTGAACTTGGTGCTGTACTTCAGGAACTCACTGATAGCCTCCAAAACAATAGGTTTATCACAGTAGTTTAATCTCCGAAAACTTTAAATTATATTAAATCATTGACTTATCTGTGTGTTCAATAAATCATGTGCTCCGAATTTAAAAAATGAAAAAGTTAACAAAATCTCGTGGATTCAAATCTACTGCGTGAATTAGATTATAAAACTTTCACTAGGCCTTTAATAGCCTTATTATTATCGTCCTGAATATTCTCACTTCTCACTCCATGACATTACTTTGATATGAATATAAAGCTAAAGTAAGTAAACTGATATATGTCCGTTATATTTTAAAAAATCTAGCTAAAACTATGGATATAGTGCCTAGCATACTTTTGTGATTGACAGAAGCAGCAGATTTATCACTAACATATGAAATGAACTACAATTATGGGCTGTAACTCCCATACCGTTATTGGTTTGATTACAAAATAGGTCATTATTACAATGCTCATCAAACTAGCGGTATACGATTCTTAATATCTCATTTAGAAGGCCGGAGATTTTAGATAAGATTTTATCCGAGATGATTTGTGGTTGATATATTAGACACAAATGAAAAAATACTAACTTATTGCAGTCTTTCACATCGTTATGCATAGTGATTTCGTAAACTAGGTTCGGAAAGTAGCAAGTAATAGTGAGATGACGGCTTCAAGACTGCGAATTTCACTACCTTTGAAGGTTATCTTGTCTATGGTTACGGATAATCTACTAAGTAAAATAATACATTATTTCTCCTTAATGATACTTAATTTCTATTAGAACTGAGTTGAGCACTGAAGCGACCAACTTTTAGTATCCATTTCTATTTCATTACTCCTAATGTCGGTGATAGAAAGAATGAAATGATACTTTTGTGGTTCAAGTAACAGTTAAAATCTGGTATTCAGTGGTTAATAGATCTCCAAAATACGTATATCTGTAAGTCGTCAGCATTGATACCCACCTCATTAGTTTTAGTGAACATACTCAGCTGAAAGCGCTCGGTTACGCATCCATACCAGATCACCACTTAGTACGTGAACCACGCTTTCCCTCACATCAACAAACGATCTTGGTTCATTCACTCTTCGAAATTCTAAACATCCTTCAAATATACTGTGGTCGTTGTATACAACAAGGATTCCTTTGCACATTATTATTTCGCTCCTAATTGGAACGCCAAATGCAATACTTTCGTTTTTACCCACGTAGTTCCTCCTGAATTCAATACTGTTCCATACGCTACTACTAGAGTAAAACTTGGGTGTTTCTGTGTGATGCTGGTTTGTGTGAGGAATACAAATACTCCTAATTATCATATACACTTTCAATTTTCTTCATTCCTCACCTATGATCTGACAGGATTTGGGGTATGCTCGATCTAAAAAGTGTTACGGACAAAAGAATTATTAAACTCTGAATATCCTTGACAACCTAATGTTCATTGGAACTCTAGCATATTCTAGTTGTCGGAGAAATGGGCTTATTGAAGAGGTTTTTAAAGTGAATTTTTTTCTACTACTAGTTAAAATGACCCAAGTGGTCATTCTCAAGTTCTCAAAGTGTTAAGACTCTCTTGCCGGAAAATTAACCTAGACTTTAATTGTGTAATATATTTGGCCTAGAATAATTTAGAAGAAATATCTGTCAATTTACCTTTGGTCTTAGAGTAGGTTTTACATCATATAGTGATGTGTTTCTGCTATTAAGGTCTTTTCTGACGAAGTACATAAATTTATAAACCCCCATTTTTCGGCAAACTGAAAAGTAAGCGATGGCGTCAAAACCATTATTTGGCCTGATATTCTCAAGTTCTTCTGAAGTTGTTTTAGATTTACCACGTGACAAATTATCTATAGTTTCTTTTAATGCTTTGTATCTCAAGTTTTCGAAGGGAAAGTTCTGTAGAAAATTTTCCTTTGAGATGAATTATGGAATATTATAGTGATTTACCGGTGAATAATCCCCCAATCCTCCTAAAAATAAAGGAGTTTGAATGCTCCTTATGTTACCATTTCGGACGTAAATCTGTTATATGAATTGGGAAAAGTAAATCATTACTGATTCTTCATCTGTGAACAGAGAACTACTGCAAAGATCACTGTCACTACAGTCCCATGAAGTTAAAAGTGAAGCAGCCACCGGTTCACCACTTTCCAACATGTTTGACAATGTGGTTCCTGTATACAAGACCGTCGAAAATACTTCAGAAAGTTCAACAAAAATTGATCTTAGACGTGTCATCGAGCTTGATGACAAGTCTGTAGGATGTTTGTTGAGCAAAATTTGAAGAATCTTCATTGATAGGTTGGCAAAATATTTGAACTGTAAGAAACCACAATTTGATAATTTCATGTTCACGATCTACCTCAGCCTCATCTTTTACCGATCGCAAAAAATCTACGTTAGAAGCCACGAATAAGCTTAGATCTTCCCATAAACTAATACTTTATTTGTTCAGATTAAGTTAAATAAGTGAAACTAGAAATATTACCAGTTTCCTCCTAGAGCTTGCAAAAACATTGATCTAAGTGAACACTTTTTCTCCAACTCTGATTCATCGTAGTCTTTATTTACTTCCCTGAATACTTCAACAACCTCCATCGTTAGTTTCAACGAACATGTGCATAATTCAACAAAAGGAGAAAAGCGTATCCAATGACAATCCAATATCCAATATCCAATATCTCCAATATCTTATTCTCGGGCTAGTCTAAACCAACTGATATTTTTGCACCCGATTCCTGTTCTTTCAGTTCGGTTCTAGGTGTTTGGTAGAGTCCAATGTATATGAGTCTAACGACTCGACTGTCTCATTCTAGTCAGCTGGTAGTTGTTTGTGAGTTTGTATGTCTCGTGGTTTGAATGAAAACGTTCGTTTCAGAGCAGTTAGGTTTTGGGAGACCAGCAGCTGTCGCATTAGCAGGCTGGAGATCAGTTAGCTGCAGTGTGGAGAATAATAAGGATAAAATTCTAAGGCTAGTATGAGTAAGACTTCAGAACTAAGTAATTAAATAGATGATTCGGTTTAATAATTGGCAGTGAAGATTGTGCTCAAGGACCGAAGTGTAAGCAAGGGAGAGGAAACTAACATAATATGCGAGATAGAAAAACTGAGGAGGTGGAAATTATAGCTACTAGCAGGTCTCAAGATATGCATCAGGAACAGCCTGTCCAAGAGGGAAATGATAATCAGTATGTGAGTATATGATTATCAAGTCTCCTCTTAAAGCTGTCCACTGAAGGGGCTGTGGTCACCTCAACTGGGAGAGCATTCCAAGTTGCGATGATTCTCTATGAGAAAAAGTGTGCACGGATCTGAGTATTCGCTCTTTAATGTGCAATCTTTCGAGGATTGCCTCGAGGGGAGTGGTGGTGATGCATCGTTAAGATGCTCATACTGGAATGGGAACAATCGCAAGTGCTGGAATCTATCTTCGTAAGGTTCGTTCTTCAACAGTATCACCCATTTCGTGAACCGTCTCTGCACTCAATCCAGAAGATTTATGTCGCTTTTAGTGAGGAGGGGTGCGACGACGTTACTAACCACAAGGTATGGGCGTGCATATGTATTAAACAATGTCAAGAATAGTTCATGTGTGATAGCAACAAGTTGTCTTCGCATGAAGTGAAGAATTGAATTCGCCTTGGCTGCGTCCCATATATAGTTCGGACTTATATGGAGGTTTTCAGTGGTTATTAAACCGAGATCGTACTCTGAGGAGATATTAGGGAGCGGACTTACATTGAGGGTATAAATCCTTTGCGTCATGTACGGCAGAATAGACATGACGTAACACTTCGGTTGGTTGACTTCTAAACCGTTTTTCACTGCCCATTCGTCTGAGGGCGAAGTCGTGCGTAACCGGCCTCAAGCAGTTGTACCTTGGGCTCTGCAGTCACTCACCCAGGTCTCTAAGACCAAAGCTAATCTATCTTCCTTTTCAGGTTCCTCAAGAAACAACCATCTACGGTGACGGCAGCCGGGATGTAACAACCGCCCTCATACCCATAACTGCACACAAGACCAAATTGTTCAAAATCAAATCCTTCCTACATTCCCTAATACCTCTCTTATCTCCACGACTAACTCTTCTCACATTCATTTATCACAGTGCACAGTTAATGCAAACGATGCGAATTCACGAAACGTCATTTCTGGTCTCTTGAAACCCTTCTCTAGACTACATGTTGGAGCATTTAAAGTACGAACATTGTGTCAAATAGGGCAACAGGCTTCATTGGCTAGGACTTTAGAATCTCGCTCAATCGATGTGTGCTGCGTCTCGGAAACGCGCATACATGATCCCAGTAGCATCATTCACTTGACCTCACCATGTCAAGATAAAGAAGCAACTAGATCTACCCTTCATGTATCCGGTAGCCCTGATGCTGCTTCCAGGGGCCTCGCTGGTGTAGGTATAGCATTGAGTCGTAGGGCAGAACAATCTCTCCTTGACTGGATCCCTGTAGATAGTCGCTTGTGCGCCGTCCGACTAAACGGGACAGTAAGGATTCGAAAGGATTGGGACACTCGTCGCTGCCTCTTCGTCATATAAGCCTACGCCCCCACTGACTGCAGTCCAGAGGATGTAAAAGATTAGTTGTACAGAAAGCTTTCGGACCTCCTCCAAAACGTCAAGCGCTCTGATATAGTTATAATGGCTGGTGACTTCAATGCTCAAGTAAGTAGACAAGATGAAAATGGTGTGGCGGTTCAGAGAACTGTAACTGTGCCCAGATAACTGCCTGTTTCTAGCAAACACCAACTTTAGGCATAAGGAAAAGCACCTTTTGACCTGGCGATCCCCGAATTCGTCTCAACATTGGACGCAACTAGATCATATCGCCATCAGCCACCGATGGAGGGGTTCGATAGAGGACTGTCGCTCGTTCTGGGGCACATGTTTAGATTCAGATCATGCCCTAGTGCGAGCGCGTTTTTGTTTGAGGCTTACTGGACGTAGGAAAGACACCATAAGGAAGCCTCTTAAGGTTTTACTTAATGATAATAATGTTAAGAAAATATTTCAGGAGGAACTAGAAAATCAGTTAGTTGACCATGCCATTGATTCCCATCCGGAGTCAGGTTGGATTGATATCAAGAAGGCCATGAAAACAGCAGTGATATCTGCTGGTAAGGTAAATCATTAAACTAGGATGAAGCCATGGATTTCAGTCGTATCCACCGGACTGATGGATGCTCGAAAACGCATCCCACCTGACTTTGAACATGATGAAGAGCGTAGTCACCCTAGGCGTAGACTGATAAAAAGCCAACCTTACGACCGCGAACAGTGGTGGCTGGCGAAAGCAAAAGCGATGGAAAAGGCAGCGGCGATCGGCAACACTAGACAACTTTTCCGACTTATCAAAGTAACTGGTATTAGCAATCCGAATGTGAGTGAGACTATCTCGGAAAATGATGGGACTATTATTTTATTTATTCTGAATCCAGGAGACAGGACCGTTGGGCAGAACACTTAAGGGACCAGTTCAACTGGTCTTCATCCACACTTCGGTTGCCCACGATCCCCAGTCATCCTGAATGGCAAATCGATTTAAGTCCACCCAGTCTACATGAAGTTGAGAAAGCTATAGGAAATCTAAAGCCAGGTCCAGCAGCAGGCCCTGATAGGCTTACCCCTGAGATGTTTAAGGATGGTGGTCCAATTTTAACATTTAGACTGACCGAGATCCTAGGTAGAATCTGGGAACTGGACATAATCCCATCCGAGTGGTCTCAGTCGTTAATCATCCCAGTCTACAAGAAAGGACAAAAGTCCTCTTGTGGCAATCACAGGGGAATAAGTCTAACTAATATAGTTTCTAAATTGTTAGCCTCGATTATACTTAGACGCCTTACTAGTGCTCGTGAAGAGCAGACCAGAGAAAACCAGGCTGGTTTTCGACCTGGACGTGGCTGTATAGACCACATCTTCACACTACGACAGGTACTGGAACACAGACACACATTTAGGCGTCCTACAATAGTTGTTTTCCTGGACCTAAAAGCGGCATTTGACTCAGTGGATCGTGAGGTCCTGTGGCAGTGTCTGTCATTGAATGGTGTACCGAAGAAGTACATTGACCTTATACAAGTTCTGTGCTCGAACACCACTGGTCGAATGAGAGCTTATGGCAAACTGTCACCGGAATTCTTTACTTCAAGTGGTGTCCATCATTCCATTCTTGTTTAGTTTTGTCATAGACATGCTCCTAGAAATAACCCTGTCCTCGTCTGAATTTTCAGGAGTAGAGCTATTAACAGGAGGCTCGCTTATCGACTTAGAATATGCCGATGACATAATCCTACTTGATGAAGATGCTGACAAAATGCAGAGTCTTCTGACCACCCTAAGCAACAATGCGAGCATGTTCGGGATGCGGTTTTCCCCCTCGAAATGCAAAATGTTGCTTCAAGACTGGGTTTCATCGGCACCTGAACTAGTGATAGGGAGTGAAGTGGCCGAGCGTGCTGATCGCTTCATTTATCTGGGGAGTCTCATCAGTGCTGATAGTTCGGTTACTGAGCTCGGATGCAGAAGGCTCGATTTGCTTTTGCCAACCTGCGTTATTTTTGGCGGAGAGATATCCGTTCGCTGACCAAAGTATGGGTGTACTGCGCAGCAGTTCGCTCCGTTCTCCTATACGGATGCGAAACATTGAGAGTAGAGATGTTCGTAGGTTACTAGTATTCGATCATCGATGTCTAAGAAGCATTTCTCGTATACCGTGGGACAACCGAGTAAGCAATGCTGTCGTTAGGAAACGAGTTCTCGGTAAGGATGGCAAATCAATAGATGAAGTAGTGAAACTTGATCAGTAAAGGCGGTTGGGACATGTGTTACGTATGGCCAACAATCGACTTGCTATGTTTGGCAGTGTAGGAGTAGATTGGAAGAAAGCTAGGGGCGGCCAAATCAAAACATGGCAGAAATCCATGAAGTCACTGATAAGTGGACTGAGTCATGTTGGTAGATGTAAGCTACCTGTTTGGGGTCCGCGAGATGATAATCACCAATGGTTAGAGACCTTGAATGACATGTCTCAGAATCGTTTGCAATGGCGCAAGTGCATCCATTCGTTGTGCTCTCTCAAACCCTAATCTTCTGGAATCGTCAGCTCCTCTACCTTTGTCTTTCTAACCTTATCTCACTGAATTATACTTCTTGAATAATATCTTCAAACCCTAGTCTTCTTCATTACCATTAATGCCTCTACTATCTTTATCATTATGGGATTTGGTTTGACATTTGCGACTCTGTGTTAATGTGGTATGGCAACATGAACTTATGTACATACGTACGAAGTTCTACGCTGCAACTGACTGCCCATTCCTCGATGGATGTTAGGTCTTTTTGAAACTCAGCCGAATACTCTCCGCTTCTAATGGACCTCCAGATTTTCGCATCGTCTGCGTAGATAGATGCCAGTGAGATGACTGTGCCTAACAGGTCGTTAATAAATATCAGGAAGAGAAGTGGACATAAGATGGTCAGCTGTGAAACACTCTATGTGTATACTCGGCAGCTCGCATGCACTCTATTCACCATGGTACGAAACTTTCTTCTATCATGGTAGTTTCTTAGTGAAGATACGAG